TTAAAACGTGTCCGTTAGGGAGAGGTTTCCATACTCTTGTAAGGAATGTTTAGTTCCGCTCTCCAACCAATATGGGATCTCACACCCATGTAACCGTTCCTCTCTTATTTTTTTCTTCATGAACTCATCCCAACATTTCAACTCACTCGATCCAAACTCGAAAAAACCACCAAATATATCACTTCGATTCATCCAACGGTTATAAAGCCAATAAAACATACCCTCAACGAACCTCGTACGGACTCCTAAAACTATTTCCTCGACTCGAACATATCTTCATCATACGTATGATACTGTCTATTTTGAACTAAAACGATCGGGCTTATCGTAACCCTTCGTATGGTCCCTATGGGCAAAAATTGGAAAGGTTTTGAATCATGGTATGAAGGGTTGTTTGTTTTATGTTAGGAGTAATGGGGGAAGTTTCTTGAGCAGTTGGTTTTTACTAGAAGGAGTGAGTTGGAGAGATGAATAAGATGGAAGGGGGAGCCCTTGCAGGCCATTGATTGAGCAAACATGTGGAAATATGTTAAACAAAACAAAACAGGAAAAACCTTTGCTTTCTCATATTTGTTGCTAAGCCTTTGTTTTCAACTAGATTCCCCCACTCATCACCTTTAAACCATCCCCACATCGTTTTACTCCCCCGTCGCTTTTTTTTCGGTAAATTATTGTCCGTTTTGACTTGTTACGTATTTACTAAGGAGAGGTTTCGATACCCTTATAAGGAATGTTTCGTTTCCCTGTCCAACCGATGTGGGATTTTACAACCTACCTCCTTTAGAACCCAGTGTTTTCGTTGGCACACTGCCCGGTGTCTGACAATGATATCATTTGTAACAGTCTAAATCAACTGCTAGTAGATATTGTCTGCTTTGGGCCATTATGTATCGCTATTAGCTTCATAGTTTTTAAAATGCGTCTATTAGGGAGAGGTTTTCATACTCTTATAAGGAATGTTACGTTCCCCTCTCTAACCAATATGAGATCTCACAATCTACCCCTTTTGGGGGGTCCAGTGTCCTCACTGACTTACCACTTGGTGTCTAACTCTGATATCATTTGTAATAGACCAAGTCCACTGCTAGTAGATATTGTCTACTTTGGGCCGTTACGTATCGTTATTAGTTTCATAGTTTTTAAAACCCATCTATAAGGGAGAGGTTTTCATACCCTTATAAAGAATGCTTCGTTCCCCTCTCCAACCGATTTGGGATCTCACAATCTACCTTCTTTGTTGGCACAGTGTTTTCGCTGGCATACTGCTCGGTGTCTGACTTTGATATCATTTGTAAGAGACCAAGTCCACTGCTGGTAGATATTGTCCATTTTGGGCCGTTACGTATCGTTATTAATTTCATAGTTTTTTAAATATGTCCATTAAGGAGAGACTTCCATACTCTAATAAGGAATATTTGTTCCCCTTACCAACCGATATGGGATCTTACACTTTCAAACTTAAGGACAACGACCCGGTTCAAATTCGAGCCATTTGAAATGAGATTACGACAACAAATTCATTTGAACTTTTGACCGAGACTTCTCGGTCGAAGGTACTTATCTTAGCCCGTTAAACTATGTTAGGGTGGCTAAGTAAACCCTAATGAATTACATGGTAAACTACATAGATCAAAAGATGAGTGTAAGTAGTGATATTAAAAAGAAAAAGAGTTAGAAGAATGAGAGAGACAGGGTTGGGGGAGGGGACAAATAATGCAAAGGGGAAGCAGCTGGGGCCAACTCTGACATGAGATCTGTTTCTCAATTATTCAACCTCAAACTTGCATGAACCGAGCGGGTGGGCGGGAATTTGAACTTTTGATATCTTAGTTGAACGGAGCATAAATTTTACAAGTTAAGTTATACTTGGATTGACAAAGAGGATGATCGGTATTTTCGATCAAACAAAAAGTCTATAGATGAAATATATTGTCGGTGAGCTATTTTTCTCTTTCGAACTCGAGGTTTTTTCTAGACACTAGTATAAAAAATCGAAACTAAGGAAAAAAAATTACAATTTATATATAAAACAAGAGAGGTACGTTATAAAGTTCTCGAGTCATCCTCAAAGAACCTTATAATGTGGATGAGGCTTATCAATATTGCTATTTTCACTCGTTCTTTATTTTCTTCTACATTTTCGACATCATTTTCATCAATTAACTTGTTATTCCACTGGACCCTTCTTTATCTACAACCTCTCACCAAAGCTCGTGCTTATATCAGTGTCATCTTCACCCTCATCATCAATTTCTTAAACATCTAGACTTCAACGACAGTAGAATATTTTTAATGAACGGGCTACAGGTGGAGGGTTATAAGATTGTTCACTCAATCTCGAGGGAAGGACTCAAATATCAACTTATGTAGTTCACTCAATCCCGAGAGAAGGCTATGAGATCATTCACTCAATCCCTGGAGAAGGAATCAAATATCAACCTCTTACTAATTACCTCCTTCAACATGTTCTCAGTCTATGAAATGAACAAATTGACCCATGATGTAGGGGTATGGTGCTAATACATTCATCCATCCCCATCCATTAAATTCAAAACAATTGGAATTCATTACAAAATTTATCATTTTTATAATATATTATTTTATAGGCACTCAAATTTCAAGCTTCCAAGGAGTGTCCGTTGCAGACCCCTACAATGGGGGAGGAGCTGCCGACTGTTCTTTTCCATTTTTTTAAATCCAAGCGACCCTCCCTAAGATTTGAACTTCGAAACCCTTGGCCGCCGCCATCGCTTTCTAACGGCCTCCTTTACTCTCCTTCAAAGATGACTCTCTCGGCTCCCCTTCCCTCTTTGTAAGCGATTCATTGTTCTTGCTTTTGTTTCTGGATTTCTTGTGTTTCCGATGAAACAAGCTTTGATTTCTGTGTTTCCCTGCTGATTTTTTTTTGTATTTTGGTTCATATCTGATCTCTACAACTCAAGAACTCTGTTGGGTATCCTAAATTTACTAAATTAATACTCATTGCGAATCATGGGCTTGTGTTCTTCTGAGAATCGAATCATGGGTTTGTGTTCTTCTGAGAATCGAATCATGGGTTTGTGTTCTTCTGAAAATGGAATCATGGGTTTGTGTTCTTCTGAAAATCCCCGTTGCCATGACTTCTATGGCACTAATACCAAGCCCACGCAAAAGGGTGAAGGAAATGGTGGTGGAGGAGTCCATTTTCAGCCACTTGGGTTTGCTAATGATAGCAATAACAGTGATGGTGATGAGATTTTGAAGCTTTTTGACATACTTTCTTCTTTGAAATTTGCGTATTTGCAGTTTCAGAAAGCTCATATACCCTATGAGCCAAAGAAGATCATTGTTGCTGATGAACTTATTGTAACTCAGCTGGAAGCTCTCTGGAAGATCAAACGTGCATTGAAACAGAACCATTTCAATGCAATTGAGTCCAAAAGCTTACAACATGATGTTCTTAAGGAGAAAGTTAGATATCAAGAGAGGCTATTGGAAGAGTTAAAATCTAAGTTGGAAGCTCAAAACATCGAAGCTCGTTGCTTGAAGCAACAGCTTCGAGATTCGGATTCGAGGAATGAAATGTTGGGTGAGAAAGTTATGAAAAGGGGAGCAAGTTCTTCATCCATCAATGGTTTTGAAGAAACATTCATTGCCACTTACAAATCCATTCATGATTTTGCTAAACCATTAATAGCTTTGATGAAAGCTTCAGGGTGGGATCTTGATGTTGCAGCAAAATCTATAGCAGAATCAGCTGTTTTCTTCAAAAGATCAGACAAGAAATATGCATTTGAAGCTTACATAGCTAGAAGAATGTTCTACGAAATGTCGTATGAGCCGTGGAATATTGAAGATGTCAAGAAGTTTGATGATCCAATAGAGTTCTTGTTAATGAATCCAAACTCTGAATTTGGTAAGTTTTGTCAGAGAAAGTACCTTTTAGTTGTTCATCCGGTGATGGAAGCTTCATTTTTTGGCAATTTGGATCATAGAACACTCGTGCAGTGTGGCAAGCATCCAAGAACACTGTTCTATCAAATATTTGCAAAAATGGCGAAATGGGTTTGGATCTTAGGAGGCATTGCAGCTTCAGCTAAGGCAGAGGCTTTTATGGTTAGAAATGATAGCATGTTCTTAGATACCTTCATGGAATCTGTCAAAGGAGATGAGGAAGCGTTAGAAGGGAGACGTAGCTACACTGTTGGGTTTATGGTTATGCCTGGATTTAGATTGGGGAAGACGTTGATAAAATCTCGGGTTTATGTTTCGAGAAGTAAACTAGAGAGTTGATGATACCTGGTAACTTGATTGTATGAAATTACCATGAGTGAGACTAAGGTTGTGGATCGATCGTTGTACATTAGAATTGTGATGTAACTAGGAAACTCAGAATCTGTAGTGAACTGTTTGTTTTCTTGTTAGCATGGCTTGAATTTCAAGGGTGGAGGTGTGTTGGTTGATAGTTAAAAGATTGGAGATCATGTTTAGGGTCTCAAGTTAAATACTCATTCCTCTGGAGTGTTGTGTTCATTTTGGTCTGGTTTACAGCCCTTTGGCATGTGGTATGTGTTGTTTTTCTTGGGCTTCTTTTCCTCGAGGTCAACGTGTTAACCATCTTATAGTGTGTCGTTTTGAGAGAAATAGTTTTATAAAACATGAGAGAGAAAATGAGTAAGTGAGTTTACAACACTTTGTAGTGTGAGGGAGGTTTGATGACTACTTAGTCTTTCTACCGTAGATTATAGTGCATTTTTACTTTGGGAGGATTAGAAACGAAAATAAAATTATTTACATGGCGTTGTCCTACACAAGCAATCATGAACGATCTTGTCCTACACAAGCATGCCTAGGAACTTAGCATCGCAAAGTTTAATGAGCATGAACATATGCCCAGACATTTGTTGTTCGTATAGAAGTCCAATGGTGAATGTATAAGTTTATCTACCTCGAGTGCCTTTGGGAGGACTCATGAATCTATTCATTCTCACAATGTAGACATATTTTTCAATGTTTTTCAGTTGTCAGTGAGCTAATGTCTCACATTTCACTTAAAAGTCATTCCAAACAATACTAAAAAATAAGCTAGAACGGAAATCAACCTAAAGAATACAAGACGAGCTTGGAGTAATTTGTAAGTCTAATAATTTAGAAAGAGAAGATCTAATTATGATTATTTGGTCAATTGTCATAAAGAGTTTGTTAAGAGATCAAAGATTACCGGAGAACAAGAGAACCGTCACATAAAGGCAAATGGGGCAGGCTGCTTTTTAATCTCAAACACTATCAAATTCAGATCCGCAGTTTCTGGGAGTATAAAGTCACTCTTCCACACACTATTTGGCCGAAGTTCTCAAGCACAAAAGTGGGAATGGCTCTGAGTTAGCCATCAGTCCATTTTCCGCCCGCCATAAATGCTTGCATTCAACATATTTGCCCGCTCAGGATGTTGCGAGAGCGACCACTGTTCTCCGGAGCTCCTGAAATTGAACTGAAAAATCAATGCTTTTGGAAAGTTTAAACCTTCACGCCTCCTCACTCTCATGCATGCTTTTGCAGAGTTAAGAAGATTATTCTACATTAACGAGGCATTCAACGAGGGTCCGTATCATAAAGAGTGAAGACAATAAGTGTTTTTTTTTGTTAGGAATCACGACCCTCCACAATTGTATGATATTGTCTACTTTGAGCATAAGCTTTCATGGCTTTACTTCTCGTTTCCTCAAAAGGCCTCATACCAATGGAGATGTGTTCCTTACTTATAAATCCATGATCATTCCTTAAATTAGCTGACGTGGGACTCCCTCCAACAATTCTCTATTAGGAATCACGAATCTCCACAATTGTATGATATTGTCCACTTTGAGCATACGCTCTCATGTCTTTGCTCTTGGTTTGCCCAAAATGCCGCATACCAATGAAGATGTATTCCTTATTTATAAACTCATGATCATTCTCTAAATTAGTCACTCCCGCCTAACATCCTCAACACTTCTTTCCCAGTGTTGTAACGGTAGCAGTTCCATAATTAATGACCCTGAAAATTCGCCACAAAACATGCCAATTTATGACCACAAGAAAACTGTTCTGTTCCGTCAGTTGATAGAAATTATAACAGAAACAAAGAAAGAGAAGCCTGCATTTACTATGAAAACAATGACAATGGTTCACATGACAGGCAGTGGCTTCCTTTGCTCGGAACTCACGAGCAATTCCCATCCCCACATTCTCAATAAGATATGTAAATCCACTGCCACCATTGAAACTCTCAACTGTCATTTTACACATGCATGAGCTAACACCTTGTTGTGTCCCTGAAATTAAAAGCCTGAAGTAGAACTGTAGCATAAAGGGAAAAAGAGAAGTGTTCTCTTGGGCTCAATCAAATTGACTCAGTAGACTAAACTTAACCAACTGAACTAACTCGATCTAAGTTTCACACGCCATAATGTAAATGAACTGTATGGTTGAGTGTTATTTCTTCTTGTTTCAGTAACACCCACCTTTGAAAGGAAGATTAGTGAGTGTTAATTTTTGTTGTGGGCATGATTGGTGATCTTTCTGAGCATGCGCTGGGCAGGTGGGCCTGTTGTACATCAAGCAGTCGGGAAGGAAAGGTACATATCATTATGCATAAAGCATCAAATCATGGAAAGCTATACAGCACTCAGCAGACAGATGGGTTGATGGTCTCTTGTTTATTGCAGCTTTTGTAACGAAGCAACCAAAATTTCATTGATCAACAGGAAAAGATTGTAAATTCTTGAAATTTCAGCAACATAAATCAATCTCACCAATATGAATGAGGTAATATTTTGGTGGCCACGCTTTTGCATTTTCCAAATCCTAATGAATGATAATGCAGTTTTGAAACCCAATTATGCTTAAAGAAATAGCCGAAATCACTCTGTTCTGTCACAGTGACACAAGTGGCCATATCCTTGGTATGTGTCATTTGCTTAATGCAAGTTTTCTCATAGTTTTTCGTTGCCAAGCTTTTCTTCGGGGCCCGTTTCCTTTTTCCCTTGGCCTCTGACAAACCAAACCCAATCTTTCAGTTTTTCATGTCAGCTTAACTCTCTACACGTATTGTGTTCATATAAAGGGAACGCAAAGCAGCAACTTGAGTAGGAACGAGAAGAGTTGGGTTGGATGGGGAAGTACAAGTTTAGGCTGTCAGGTATGATACCAAATGCCTGGTTTTATAAGCTCAAAGACATGGGCAGCAACAGATCAAAGCATAACTCCTCTCAATCTCAATCCACCTCCAAGAAAAATCTCAAGTCTAGGACCATGTCGCAGCAGACACCTCACGTCTTGCAGCCATTTTACTTCACTGAGTTCATCCCAAAACTTCGTGGATTCGACAACTCACCCGTTAACCAGAACTTCTCAGTCACCCATTTTCCTGATCCAGCCAGAAAATCATCGAGAAGATCCAGGAGGAGAACCATTTACAAGCCTTCCCCAAGGGTTGTCAACCCCGTCTCAGCTACCTGCATTTGTCACATCTCTCCCAATTCAGTTGGAACTCTGCTTCGTTCTCCAGATTCCTCATTTTCTTCTATAGAGTACTCCCCTGGAACTGAGGCCTATGAATCCAGTCTCTCTGAAGCAGAAGGTGCCAACACGTTTTCTTCGGACTCCTTCGATGATGTAGCCTCATGGTCCAGCTCCTGCAAATGCACGCTCAGATCTTCAAACAATGATATCATCATAGACATGAATGATGAATTGGTTGGAAGAAAAACTGGCAAGCTACATCTACATGAGTCCAACTGGGTCAGAGAGATGAATCAGCTTCCTCCAATATTGAGGAAGCCAATGTCAATCAAACAAAAGGCTAGCAAGGCCGCCAACTTAAGAAGTTCGTCCAAGTGGAAAGAAATACAAGAAAACCAATCCCTCTCTGTCAAAACGGAGGAGGAAAACATCAGAAATGTGGAGAAACTAAAAACCAGTTTTGTTGCTAGAAAGTCATCTGCAAGTTCGGTAAGTGTAAAACTGAGAGCCAATTCGCCAAGGATTGGTAGGAAAAGGATTCAGGGACATGCAAGAAGGAATGTGTCATCCAGAAGTGAACTGAAGAGCAAGAATAGTTGCCTTTCGGAGAGCGTTGCAATGGTCAAGACATCACATAACCCTCAAGAGGACTTCAGGGAATCAATGGTAGAGATGATTATTGAGAATAACATCAGGAGTTCCAAGGATTTAGAAGATCTTCTTGCTTGCTACCTCATTCTGAACTCTGACGAATATCATAATCTCATCATCAAGACTTTTGAGCAAATTTGGGTTGATATGGCTGAACTTCATATCTGAAAGCATTTCAGATAATGAAATACTAGAAATACGTATATTCTATCTGCTAAAATAAGACACATGTAGGTTTGCTTTTCTCCCTTCCTCCACTTCTTAAGTGGCTTTTGCTAATAAGTAATATCAAACTTCTATCAAAGCAGGTTGTCAACCTCGAGCTGTAGCCAGTATATTATGTTTGTGTTATTACCAAATCTATGAGATATGTGGCCGTTTCTACATGACTTTGCTTCTTGTGTTTCTTTTTGATTTGTTTGTGGACAAGAAAAGCAAGGTAGTTTTTCAGAACTCCAGTTCCTGGAAATGTCATATGTCAAATTTTGCAGGAGAATTTTAGAGAAACAGAAATTACAGCAAATCTACTAAACTTAAGGCAATTGAAGGCCTTGCTCCCTCTCTATATCTATGTATTGATCTGATATATCACTATTTTTGGATCCAAGTTTGTAAATGAATTTTAACCAAAATGTTCTATGTATTAAAAACATTTTACCCTTCTAACAATGTAAAAATTTGGTCGTACAGTAAAGAATCAGCTTGGGGTTAAATGTATTCATCTGTTCCTAATTACAATTGAAAGCTTACCTATTATCCTCACTCAAACCTTCTTAAAGTTGAATTTCTGCTCTTTCTAGAAAGTATTTTCTTTGCCTCTTCAAAAGGTTCAATTATTTCTAAGGAAGTATGTTTAGGTAGATGGACATTGCACAAATGTTTCAAAGATGGCGTATGTATATTCTCTGAAAGAAAATCTTTTGTTTCAATTTCTTTATTTTTTCTTTCGTGGTCGGGGAGACAACGAGCTGCTCTCAAGGATCATATGATTAAAAAAACAAGGAAAGAATAAAATTCAGAAGGTGGACAATAATGGAGGGCCGGACCAGAGCTAATTTAGGATAGAAACGTTTATATAGGGAGCCAGTGAGGCTATAATCAGTGACCCAACCTAACAGTTTCTACGATTTCTTACAGATAGACACAACTCGTTTGCGTTGTTTCTGTCAAGAAAAACTGGGATTCAGCTTCTGTCACTGTCTCATAAAGCTTGTCAAAGCCAACCTAAACTTGTTAAAAAAGCCAATAGAATCAAGAATTAGAAAATAGTACTTGTAAAGGTGGAAGCAGGCATCATGATTTCTGCTTATGATCCACTCAAACAACTTTTTGAATCCGATTAACTACATCACATGTTAAGAAGCCAAGTTGGAGATTAAAAGCACAGCAAGCAGGAAGTTATGATTGATAGTGGGGCGAATTAGCCGAAGCAGATGAACAAGTGCAGGGTAAAAGAATCAAAGACATGAACCAAAACATATTTTAGCATAATGATACGAAATACATACAGAAAGAATTCATCGGCCATTGGGAACAATTGAAGAAGGAAATTCTCCGAACGCTTGTACGACATGCAGGGAGAATTCAATGCCAGAAATCCATATACCGAATGCGGAAATAAAACAACAAAAATGAAAGGTCAAGCTCCGATCTGCTGCTATCGTCGTCGGAATGTATCAGAGAATAGGGATGAGACCCCACACATCATCAGATCCAGCGCGGAGTTCTTCATCGCAATTCGTAAAACTGAATTTACAGTGACCGGGAATCGTACCCGGGCCAGTACCATGACATGACAGGGTACCATTTAATCACTAGACCATTAAAATAATAAATAACTAAAAATTACACCTTTAAAAAAATTATTAAAATTAATAAATAAAAAAAAGTCACATTATTATTTATTTAATAACTAATTAAAATTATTTTTTTTTTAAAAAAAAAAGAAAATTTAGAGACTTCACAATGGTAAATGCATTGAAAAAGAGTAAATTAGTGGTGAGCTTGAGTTGAAGATGTCGTACTGACTTCAGAGATAAATAATTAAAAAATCTAGACCCGTAACTCTAGGGAATGTTACATTTACGAAGATGCGATACCAATTTAGAAAATCTAGACCCGTAACTCCAATTTCAAAGACAAAAACTTAGAGAGTCAACTTCATAGGCGTGCATTGATAGTTTTTTAAAAGTACAGTTAGTAAACGTGCATACCTATGTAAGGACCGTAAAAAAAAAAAAAAAAATGTTAACTTTTATGTAAGAAAGAGAAAAGATAAGAATTATGAAGCAGAGTGAAGGAAAACAAAGTGGTTTTCTAGAGCATAATTGGGAAGTCCACATTGGATGGCTGTGTCAAACATTGAAGCACAAGAAATAGGTTTTAGGTTCAACACAGTTGTGTGTGACTTTTGTGCATTCAACATAGGCAGTTTTACAGAGCAGAAAGCACATAACTACTGATGCAATCTATGGTGGTGGTGGTGGTGGTGGTGGTATCTCACACAGTTAAACACAAGTTCACCTACTCACTCCAATACCCCTCCATTTTCCAGTAAACGGTCAAGGAAGTGTCGGAGGCCATTGATTCTATCAAATATACACAGCTCTTTCTTGGATGCCGTACCTACCAGACCAGCAGCAGCTAGAGACAGAGGCAAAAACTCCTACACTTCCTTGTTGTCTGCTGCATTCACCTCACCTCTACTACAACACTCAATGGGAGAGTGGGGGAAAATCTTCATCGTTCTTCAAATGGAAAGCTTGTTCAGCAACAACAACAACCCTGAAATGCCATTTTTTTTTTTTTTTTTTTTAATTAAAACGAGTCCATAGAGCAGCTTAGTAAACTTTTTAAAAGTTAAATCAGACCTTTCTTGGTTGTTTTCTTCTTCTCGTTTAAGACCTTCCGTAGCTGACGACCCAATCCCAGATGATGATGAGCCCTGAAGGTCTGAAGTAACAACTTGCTCTGATGGGCTGCTGCTTGCTTCTGGGATGGTTGCATCACAAGGCTCGGGGTTAATCGGCCAAGGTTCAACAACTTCATCGTGTGGCCAGGAATCATTACTACTACTACCATGCGGAGTTTTCCATCTCGAAAGGTAAGACAAGGGTGGTGGTGGTGAACCTGATGATCCCGTTTTGCCGTTACCAAGAACTGGAAATTCAGCTTCCGAAAATTCAAGGCCGCCTCCCGTATATATGCTCAGTTCTTGTGGAGTTGTGGATGATTGATTATTACTGCAATCTAGCCGTGGCAATTGACTCCGAGTCATCTGTCCTTGACTCTTTCCCTTTGCTTGAGATTGCCTGTCTCTATATGTACAAGTATTCTGCAAACAATCAACTACAACGTCATAACAATATCATGGATTTCTGAACAACATATGCAAGGAGCACAATGATTTCAAACAAAGCGACGAAAATTTTAACGTAGGAGAATGGTTATAAAAAGAAGATGAAGGTTTCATGGAATACCGTCCTAGGGAAGTAAGTACCAATTCCTTGTGGCCTTCTCTTTTCCTCGAAAACAGTACCAAAATTATTCACCAGGTTCGACTGTAGTCCCATGGCGAACCCATTTTGTTCAATTCCAGTAGGTACATTAGGATTGCGTATTTGGGATTGATGGGTGGCTGGCCAAGGATAGTTCCTCTGCCTATGGGGTGACATGGGTGGACTTAATGGTAGGGTTGGAGGGGAAATGTTATACTTGTCACAAATCTGACTATATCTAAGGTTCTTAAAGCAACTATCATAATCCCCGCAAAGGTCTAATAACTTTCCTACATCATCAAAGCTTCCGAGGCCTCCATTGCATCTTTCGTTAAAACCCTTTACGCCATCATTATTAAAGCAATCTTTGGTCATTTGACTGCCTAACAAGCCTAGAAACCCATTCTGTGGGGCACGATAAGTGTTCTCTAAGACCGCATTAGTCTGGTTGGAAAGCGAGGAAGACGATTTAGGTGTGTCGTTAGTGCCACTTGTATCAAGAACAACAGCAGTCTCTGGCTTCTGGACGTTCCTTGCGACTTTACGCCCTAGCAAACATAATTTTGTGAAAGAACTTTCAATTACTAATGCCTTCTCATCCCTGATGCGTAATGTTGGCTCCAAACATGCTTTGTCTTGAAAATATGTCTTCAACGGTGCAGATGACTGCACTGAAACCCCAAGGCGAGCATCCAAGGTAGGGAATTCTGCATTAGTCCAACAGTGCCTGTCTAAAGTGTTGGCAAAGAACTTCTTAAGTTCAGCTTCCATTCTTTCTTCCGGTAATAAAAGAATCCAACCTAGCTTACGAGCTCCATATTTGAAAGCACTGCGTATTCGGTAAAAATTTCCTACACCAAACAACGATGCATGATCAGAATATGAAGCGTGTGTACTAAAGGATAATTGCAACTTGTAATCTAAGTACAAACATACTGGGAGAACATGACACGAACGCTGCAATACCTTTTCTCTTTTTCAAAAGATTAGGTTTTGAACTTGGTAAAGATACATTGTCCAAAAGTAAGCCTTTTCAGGAGAAATATATGCACATGTCTGATGGTTACAAAGCTTCTAAATACATAAAGGATTATAAATAAAAATAAACATCCAAGCCAACAATCGACTGATAATATATAAATACCGACCAAAAGTAAGCCTTTCCAGGAAAAATATGTGCATATGTCAATCTACTCCAATGGTTACAAGCTATTTAGATATAATAAAAGATTATAAATAAAATTAAATAGCCAAGACAAGCCAGCATTTGACCGATGATACATAGTATAAACAAAATTTGGAAGACAACTTCCTTTGGAATTTCTCAATTTGTCAATGAATTTGGCTTCTGTATCTTTACGGATTCTCTCATTCTTCAAACCCTTTCTTGGTGTGAATTTCATGATCTTTTATTTATTATTGCAAGGTATTAAATCCTAAGTAGGTGACTACCATGATTTGGCCTATGGTGGTTAATTTCATGCTTCCATTCCTTATTACCAACTAGAGGGTATTTTGTAATCTCTTATTTAGGGTTGGACTCTCTGTCTGATAGTTCACATTGGAAGACAAAATGGCGTTGGGAGCACAAAATAAAAAATGCACGTCCTATTAGAGAGGGCAGTCACATCTCTTCATGCAAATTCACTCCAAAATGACACTTGCCTACAGCCTACCTCACTACTATTGCCTGCAAAGTACAAGGCATAATTTACTTGTCTGGGATGTATTTCTCTTCTGAGCCCTCTTAGTATATACAAAAGATTTGGGCTAGAGTAAGGGTTGCTGCAACTATAAATGATCGCAGATGTCATTATTTCCTCAATCCTCTTAATCTCTACTTTCTAAACATGGGTAGCAGTAGGGGGGAACATCAACTAGAGACTATCCAGCTAAATATGATGTTCAATTTCATGATGGGAAGGAAGGCTCTCCTGGAGGTGGAACATGGTTTGGAGGGACTGGGAGATCAATAGAGGTGGAGGCCATCTGGGTTGGGTCTCGTCGAGCAGGGTGACTGAACTCAAGGATGCCTCTGTAGGACTTAGAAAGGGTAGTTGGGGGAAAATGGATTGTAAACCATGAGGTGGGGGTATGTTGATTTTGGGGAAGAGTTGTCTTTGTGGAGAGTAACAGCTCTCTCGAATAGCTGGGTGGTATTTTGTGTTTGAGACTATTTCAAAAATAAGCTTTAATAATACACTGCCTATTGAGGAACTCCCAATAGAACTCTCAATAAATAGTGTTGGATTCTTGAATTATGTCTTTGTGCATTTTTCTGTGTATTTAAGAGGTGATTTGGGTATCAGATATCTAACAAACTGGTACCAAAGCACGTTTTTTCAGCCTGAGGAAAACACGACAAATGGGTCGAGGCAAGTAGAAGAGAGACTAGAAAGGGTGAGAAGAAAGAAATTACTTGGATAAAATAGGTTCTAGTAATTCTAGAAAAGAACCTGGAGAGATTGTCTACTGAAAGAAGGAGAATAAAAGACCGATGGTTTTAATGATTGCTGAGAAAACAACAGAGAAATGAAAATCATCAGTTATGACCACAAGCCAATCCTTGTTTCATATGAAAGAGGTGTGTTCCGAGATGGAAAAAAGAATTGATCCAAGGTAGGCGAATGAGGCAAGTAGTGATCAAAGCAAATTCAAGAAGTTGGAAATGCAGATTTTCTAAGGTACAAATACACACTCGAGGTTGTTTCGTGCTGAATGTACAGCACGTGAGTTGTAATTCAAAAATACTAGAGGTTATTTGTATTCCTTGAAAACCATTGCTTCCATCACAATTCAATATCTTTTGGCCCACTATTAGCCAAACGACATGGGCACCAAAGCCAATGTGAGTAAGATTGCCTAGCCATACTTCAGAATTGGGTTGTGACTAAATTGTCTCTCTTTACCTGCAGACATCAAACCGCATTCTGTAGGCCCCATCCCCTTGACACTACTCAATAGTCTTTTATGGATCACCAGCTAATTCCAGGTGCAGATCTAGATGTTCAGTTTGTTCAATCTGTTGATACAGGTGATTCATCTTACTCATCATTTTGCTTTTGTCATAGTTTTTCTATTAGATTATTGTGGTTGCGTGTTTCAAGATTTCATTGCCAAAATTTTAACTACCTGATTATGCAAGAATTGGCTTCCAATCGTTTGAAAGTTCAAAGCTACATGGGGCATAGATGATGAGTGCAAACAATTGATTAAAAAGGTAAAAGAAAGAGAGTTCATGTGAGTTTATTTTCCTCAGAACAACCAAGAATCAGAAATCCAATTCGGTGAATACTGATATTCCACTTATTTGAACGTGTGTCCATTGAACTTGTTTACCCTTGGGTTCGGACAGATCTTCTAATATTTTTGGCTCACACAGAGCTTCATCTCCGGTGAACTTCATCTTCTAGGAAAAAATTCTAATAACATTGTGGGTACGCTCTGTTATCCACGAGGTGCAGAGATATGCTCAATTGTTTGTTCTAGGGTTCAAATCCTCTGGAGTTATTCTTTTGATAACACTTGCAATTTGTCGGTAAGGTCCAACTACCCTTCCCATTTCTTCTGCACCATTTTCCTAGTTTCCCCGAGCTTGCTCTAATTCCAATATATTAGGTCTATTCCAATTGTTTACTTCGAAAGATGCACAAAATGGTGCTGACAGCTCATAAACCAAAAGCACAGCCTTTGAGTGGGCTGGCTCGCTTTCCCTAACGAAAATTCACTCCAAACAGATGTTCCCCCACCCACCAACAAACACAAGGCATGGCCAACTGGCCAGGGATTTATTCCCTTTCCCCTCTTTCTAGCATATAAGTTGTTGCTCAGGGTTTTAAGATTCTCCCCCTCCCCCTCGTTAATTTCATTTAATGAATGAATTTTGTATCTCATGAAAGGATAGAAAAAACATTCACAAACGATAATATTTTATGAAACTTTTAAAACAAATATGTCAAATATAAAAGTAAAATAAAACAAAAGACTTCGTAAAGCTTCTCAAATTCCATGCAATTCAACTTTCAACGTTCATTTGAATTTTTACCAAACTCTTTTATATCGATGTTGAAAGAAATGAAATAATTCATCATACTAAGAGAAACTACAGAAACTTTTTTGCATTAAGATCTTGGGGTGGGGTTGGGGGTGCACCGGAAGGGAAGGGGTTTACTCTGCAATAAAATTATATGTACCATCAACCAATTCACACAGCAACAGCAAGAATATCAGGATTAGAAAAAGAAGAGATCAAGGAAACTACACGCACTTTTTAAAGCAATAAACACAGAAAGCAGGTAAATACCTCTACTAACACTGCGCCCAAGGTTGTTATTTTCCTTTAGGGGATCAATTATATTCAGATGCTTCAGGGTAAAACCCCTCAAGCTTGGCTCAGACCTCCCAGATGAAATTGAGTACATTTCCATGCAGTTTCTAAGGAAGTCATCTCTCAGCAATAGCTCATGGCCACCATTTTCTGGTGTTTCAGCTGTGCAAACCCACCATAAGTCAAGAAAGCAATGAGTAACCTATCCAATCTTACGGCAAAATAATTCTTACCCACTATATCAGGTAAGGAAGATTTGCTAACGGGTCCTTGCAGGCTGATACAATAATTTTCCCAATCAAATACGCTGAAGTATTCCAAAAACCTATAGAGGACCTATTTGAACAAGCAAAGCAGAATTAGATAGTGAAACTGACCTATGCAAGTAGATAATTAAATCTTGACTTTAAATGGTTACTCACTGCCAAAGGGCTATGCAAAGAACCATGAAAGAGATGGAAAATATACAGGACAAGTGTTTCCAAAGCATATGTTGATATCAATCCATGGTGAGCGCCAAGAATTCGACTTTCATAATAGCACCAAGCTTTTAACAGAATAATGCTCCTTTTGAAAAGATGATCTTTACCAGCAATACGATCAACCTAATTATAGCCAATATCAAAGCATAAAATTAAGCCACCTAATATTGTAATTCAGGCGTGAAAGCTTAGAATTTTAAAAAATAGTAGTTAACATCCAACCATACCCGTTCAAGAAAACACAGGGTGGAGAGACCTCCCAGCTGATTAAAGGATATATCAACTACTATGTTTTGAACTACGCATTTCACAAGCTTAACCTGTCAACAGAAGTACAAAAAGGGAAAATAAATCTTATCCAACCTGAACTAGTAAAAACTTTTTCAGTTTAACAAGAAACACCAGAGACTTCAATCAAGAAATAAAAGTATTAACATCCATTTACATCAATGCATTGAAGACCAATCACCTAGGTTAGACCGGAATTGGTTATTAATTCAAAGTTCCATGATACCTCATATCCATGATCTTAACGATGGTTGAGGGGAAAGGTTGTCACAACTGAAATTTAAATGCTCAAAATCCATCACACAGAGAAGATAATTGTACATTTTGAAAATTCTACGTGGATTTTAAACTTCACCCTCCACAACTTACAGGGACTAGAATGTTCAAGCTCATGTTATCTCAGCTCACCAGGCATTGAACAGACGTAAGACGCAAAGAAAACATGTTAAACGGGGTGAAGAATCAATTTAAAAAGCTGTCACAGGGTCATGATTGATTGACCCAAATAAGCATTCTTACTTTTTCTTTTTATATAAATTATATATTTTGTAAGCCCAACTAGCATATATCAAGAGCACTAAAAGCAAGACAAACCATTTAAGAGTTTCTTGAGCTTTTCAAGCCAGAATAACAACAGGAATGTTCTCTTTTTTTTTAAAACAATTTTTTTTATAATGGATGGATCAGTTAAAAAAAAAAAAAAAGTTAGAAATACAGTACACTTTGAACTGATTATTTCAGTGTTTGAACCAATAATAAAACAATATCATATTCCCTAGGCAGCTTTATGAAATAAATTATTTAACCCAAGAAAATATTGACCACCCATTGAGACGAGCTTGAAGCTACTGCAGGTTTTGAATAATATGTAGAAACATAACATACAACCTCCAGCTCTACCATGCATAAAAAATCTCAGAAGATATCTATAAGAGAACTAAAATAATGCCTCACCAAATTTCTAATATAAAGCCATAGGCAATCATAAGAAAAATTAAGTCAAACGAAAGTTTTTAAAAAAAAAAAAAAAACCCATAATTTCATGGTTCAATTCTTTCTTTCCTTGCGTTTTTCTTTGTTTCTTTGTTTCTTACTTTGTTTCTTTCTTTATTTTTCTATTTATTTTTATCTAGAGGGTAGGGTAGGGTGGAACCTCAGCATCAATGCAATGAACATCCTTCACTTCAAACTGAGAAGCCCCATTTATTTCTTGTTCCTTGAGAACAGTATGAACGTCAGAAACCACAGCACTCTCTGTGTTTGCACAGCAGATGGCAGTCAAATCTATATCTCCATCAGGAATATACGTTTTGAGTGGCACAGAACCATATGGAAATACCTGTTAGTGAAGCCAAATGAATCATATTGAATTGAAAACCCATCAAAAGTACAATCAGCTAAACACAATTCATCTTTAGTTCAACGGAAAAAAACAATGTTTTTAATGTATATCACGAGCAATGTGCGTAAGCAATTCAAAGTACAAAGATAAACAGAAACAGCCATCAGATTACAAAACTAAGAAAGTAACCAAATATAAATCTATAAACAAAATTCACTTGGAAAAGTTACCTCACATCCGATACGAGTTCTGATCAATCCTTGAACATAATCAACAATCTCCTGTCTCTTCTGCTCGGCCACGGAAGTGGGCTGAATTCTACGAAGGATACAACCAGCAGTATTCTCGGCTCTTAACCAATTTTCAGAAGTAATTAACGACGGATCAGAATTCAATGTGGGAAATGGCAATCTTGACAAATGGGGGCAGGAATAATCGCCACCCAATAAGATGCCATGGTGCCGAGGCGAACAGACTTGGAGATCACTCATGTAATTAATCAAGAGAAAATCGAAGAAACTAATAAACGCAGCAAGAAAAGGGCATTATCCAGGTTTAAGGAAGCGCCGAGAAAAACAAGAAAATGGGAATTTCAAGACGGGTCCATTAATAATGCAAAGGACAGAATTAACCGACGACCCAATAAAAGAAAGAAAAAGAATCAAGAGAAGGAAGGAAGAAGAAGAACAAAGAGTTGGATGAAATGGCAATGTGATCCCAGAATCGGAGACCCAGATGGTGGGTGGCGGAGTAGTATCCAGTGGGCGTATGGGATACACAAATTTGGGTGGAAGAAACGGAATGCGACACAGCGCGCAATGGAAAAGAAGAAATGGAACGTCAAACCTCACCGCGTTGATTTGTGAAAAAGTCTCGGTTTGTGGGTTCGCGGACGTCGTTTTATGGGGGGAAACAGAAAGCCTCCCTCTTCCGCTGTGCCCTTGGCTTGGCTTGGCTTGGCCTTCCCCTCCCCGCGCTTGCGCCCTTGCTGTGAATGATCTCGCAGCAGGTAAAACTAAAACAGCAGCGGCGATTGTGAGCTCTATTTTGATCCTTCTCTTTGCCCATTATGGTAATTATTGGTTTGCCATAAACCGCCCTCGGTTACTGAAAATCATTAAACAAAATCATTAGGCTATGAGGTTGTCAAGAGCTATAATACAAGATTTAGATTTAGAATTAGAATTAGATTTAGATGGTTAAGGATGGCCAACCAAACAGCTAACTCAAAAAACTCCATCCTTTCCCCCCATGTCGTCGTCTTCCAATCTGATGCGGCGATTGACCCATTATAGTTTTGGCTTTTCTTCCGCATTTGCCGCACGCAGTCTACAAGAAAAGATGGTTCATTACTTCACCACCATTGCACATACATGGAACATACAAAAAGTCTACGCATATCACGTTGCTCATTTCATTTTGTCTCTTTCCAATGTGCCTGACTTCAACCTTCCTATTTAACACATACAACAATGATTTCTTCTTCTCTTAGATACAGCCTGCCTTCCCCTCTTCCATTCAATATTAATGTTCGTGCCATGTGTGCCCGTGTGTGGTGTGTGGGCAAAATTGTGAACAATAACAGAGGATTTGAACATAGATGTTACAAGAACATGAACTGTAAAAGGCATATGACTGGGGAAAAACTGAACCCAGGTGGCCAAAGAAAGATACATTTCATCTCATTACAAGGCTTGAACATCCATGCATACAAGGATGTTCGTTATTCAATATTTCACCAGAAAACAGCTAAAAGAAGATTCAACAAATGGACCCAAGGGACTTTTTTCTTAACGACTCTCAACTAGGGGAGCTTCTTTCGCGAAAATCTCATCAGCATACTTCCAGTTTATGACTTTCCATATGTTCTTCAGGTAGTCTGGTCTGACATTTTTGTACTGTATCATGGAAAAAATGAAAATATTAAATAAGCAGGCAGCAAAATATAGGCAGTTAATAATTGCAGGCCAAATATGATGGATGCCTATTATAACATTCATTTTCTTTTCTAAAAGTCTAAACCCGCCACAAGACCCATGGAAACATCAAAGGTTTTTGGTACTAAGCTCGCCCATAGATTCGAAAAATGCGACCTTAGGGTAGATGCTACAAGTGATACTCAGAGACTGCTGGCCTTAGACAACAAGGCCATCCCTTGGGGATGTTATATATATATATATAACATATATTACATTATAGCTTTTCAGTACGAAAATCTTCAACACAATAAGCAAAAAATCAAACGCAAATTTCCTCCACAAGTTAATTATCACCAAATTCCATCCATTTAAAAGCATCACTACCAAGTATCCCAACCACCACAGTAAATTATAAAAATGTAACAGCCGAAACCCACGGCTAACAGTTGTTGTCCTCTTTGGAATTTCCCTCCCAGGCTTCCCATCAAGGTTTTTAAAACATGCCTGCTAGGGAGAGGTTTCCACACCCTTAAAAGGAATGTTTCGTTCTCCTCCTCAACTGACGTGGGATCTCACAATCCACCCCCCTCATGCCAGCGTCCTCGCTGGCACACGTTCTCTTCTCCAATTGATGTGGGACCCTCCAATCCACCCCCCTCGGGGCCCAGCGTCCTTGCTGGCACACCACCTCATGTCCACCCCCTTCGGGAGATAGCCTCCTCACTGACACATCTCTCCATTTGTAACAACCCAAGCCCACCGCTAGCCGATATTGTCCTTTTTGGGCTTTCCCTTTCAGGTTTCCCTTCAAGGTTTTTAAAATGTGTCTGCTAGGGAGAGGTTTCCACACCCTTGTAAAGAATGTTTTGTTCTCCTCCCCAACCGACGTGGGATCTCACATTAAATGAGGATAATCTTCAAAAGAGTACATGATCTTATCCAGATAGACACTTGGAAAAAGAGAGAGAATCATACTAATGTAGGGAAAAAGTAGAAAACATTTACCTGCAAGTAATACGCATGCTCCCAAACATCGATCCCAAGCAGAGGAACTAAGGCAGATCCTTTAGTCACAAGAGGATCCTGCAAAGAAGTGCATCAGCCACATGACTTTCATATTTCAATTATAACCAAACACGCTAAAATTCTACAAACAAGTGATAAAAATAAAAACCCTGACTCCATAAAATACTTAACGCAAAATAATTGGGCAAATAAATAAGAGATCACAGAAGGCATCAACGAAAACAGAAATAGAACAAGACTGCATCTGCAACATGTTTGTAGCTTTAAAACAAATAAACCAAGAGTTATACCTGATTGGCCGTGGTTTCAACCGACAGCTTCTTCAGTTCTTTATCCAGAGCAAGCCACTAGAAAGAACGTTAAAAAGCATCAGTTAAACGTCTATATTATATCAGGTGGTGGACAAAAACGAAAAACCAAATACATATAGGGGAGAAAACATACCACCCATCCAGAGCCCTGTAAAGCAGCACCTTCTGCGTTGACCCTCTGAATCAAGGCTTCAAGAGAACCGAACTGAGTGTCGATCGCCCATCCTAGAGATCCCTTTGGAGGCTCACCACCCCCTTCCTGTAAATATATTACACAAGATACATAGATAGATTAAAACATCAAGAAATTGAGAATTGACCTAGAAACCAAATCATCGACACAAGGACTGAGACTTACATGAATAGAAGCGAGATTTTTCCAGAAAATCGAATGATTGACGTGACCTTAAAAAGAAAACGATCGGTTAATATGTTAAGAAACGATATACGAACTCAATTCAGTCAATCAATATCGTAAAATTCCCTAATTGAGCAACTCGATCTGATTTGAATAACAATACAATGAGAAACTGAACATGTATCATAATCTGAAATCAAAAGACATCGAGAAATGAAAGAAAACCTCCGCCATTGAATTTGATGGCACTTTGCAACTTGACAACAGCGGAAGTGTCGCCTTTGTTGATGGCCTCGTGAAGCTGCTCAAGAGCCTTGTTATAGTTGGTGATGTAGGCTTGATGGTGCTTCTGGTGATGAAGCTGCATGATTTCGGCATGGATGACGGGCTCAAGAGCGCCATAGTCGTAAGGGAGGTCGGGCAAGGAGAAGGTCTGGAAGCCGCGAAAATGTCCAGACCGTATCGCTCCAGAAATTGTCGGCGTTAGGTTTTTCCTGCTAAGAATTCGAAGAGCCATTGTCGATACTCTCTCTCTCTCACTTCCTTTCTCACACACCACAATATCGACCTCAGCTGCTCGACACAGGCGGCTTCAAGTGGTCTAGTGCTCGCTACACCAAAACTCTTTTTTTATTATATTATTATTATTATTATAAAAATTAGCTCAATTCTTTTTTAAACTATAATTTTTTTAATATTAGTATAACTCAAAACTCCAAGGTGAGATACATTCATATACTCTTGAACTAAAAATAATAATTTTTTTATTTTAATTACAAGTATCAATTTGAGCTCGGATCCCCTCCACCTATTCTTGAACAACGTCCTCTTCCTTAGAGATTCTCGGTGAAGAAATCCTAAGAGAGTCCCTGACTCCAACTATAGTTCATGTACGGTCGACAACCCATATTTATCTCATTAGAGTCTTTCAGTGCCATGTTTTGGTCATCTTCTCTTCATTAGTTAAAAAACGTAAACCACTAGTTCAAGTACAAAATACTATTATTATCACCTAAATAATTAGAATCTAACCCGTAATTGCAACGGTCCAATTGCAAGAGCGTAGCTCTACCAACTAAGCTACATCCCCAGAATCAGAGGGTGTTAGAACTTCGGACTTGAATATTTATGTTGTTTTAAAATTTCAACATGCGGTTTTGCCAAGTCCTATTCGTAGAAAAATATATAACTTCGGGGCCAATTTCGAAGCATGGTTTTCATTGAGAAAAAAAAAACAATAATAATTAAGGTAGGTTTTGCTTTAAAAATGAAAATCAATAAAGCTCATGAAATACCACCATAGGTTTAGAGAAAGATGCGACCGGTTATATTCTCATAGGAGCAAATGCAAGCTTTTTCTTTCAATACCCGACCAAATGACTACAAGATCATCATCGGTTTATATAGAAGGTTTTTCCATATCAGCTTCTTCTACCTATATCGTAGTGGAAGCACCTAAAGGTGAATTTGGTGACTTTCTAGTCAGTAATGGAAGCAATCGTCCCTACCATCATAAAATAAGAGCACCTGGCTCTGCCCATTCACAAGCACTCGATTCTATGGACAAACATCACATGCTAGCAGATGTAGATGTAGATATATATATATATATTTGATATTCATTTTTTTTATATATAATAAATACAGTTATAAATAACTGTTTCAGTTAACCTTTTTGCTCACTCCCTGATCATTGAGACGTCTCAAAAAGACAGGAAACACAGAAGAGTATAGGCAGCATCTATCCATGTATCATCTCTCAATACGCAGTAAAATTACTGGAAATTCACTTTTTACTCTCCTGCACGCACCCATCATCTTCCACTACACTGACAGTGAAACGAGGAATAGCTATAAATCATCACCAAAATTGCAATTTATGAAAAAATATTGTTCTTCAAGACGTTGTAAAAACAGTCTATGTTCTCTGATCTTCAAAAACATTTGGATATGCGTCGTCAATAATCTGACAGAATCATTTACTTTAACAATACTCATATAACTGCTAAATGAGAAAGAGTTTCCTCTACCTCTCTTCTAATTTTTATACTTCAATAATAGATGTCGTCGCACTCTTGATACAACACAACAGCAGCAATCGGCATGAGAAGCCGTCTGGCCAGCAATCTCTTCATTGCTGGGGGCGGGATATCTTGATTCAACGATTTGGGCTATAACAAAATTCGTCTGAAAAGACGGGCGACGACGTTATTATGCATGCAGGTCCTTGTTTGAACTCCATGCCGGAGCTTTAGGGCCCACGCCGTCGCCTAAGATTGCCGTTCCATTTTCTACGCTTATTAGGGGATCAGATTCACTTTCTTTCACCTATAAATAACATGTAGATCGTTTAAGTTCCATGGCAGTAGAGGAAGAGATAACATGTCAATTGCAGAACTACTACTACTTATAGTACCTGGGATAGCTGTGCTGATGATACTTCATTGGACTTTTGTTGGCTCTCGAGGGTGCAACAATAAGAATATAGAACCATTCCAACTATGGCAACCAGAATTCCCAAAATGTTGCGCCAGCTAAATGGATCGTGAAGTAGAACATAGCCAAAGCCCAAAACTAAACATGTTTTTAGATGTCCTAGGACTTGATATGTAACTGCAGAAGTCTTTCCAATAACTAGAAACGTACTGAAGTTGACTGAGACAGAAATAAGGCAGGAGAGAACAATAAAGAACTGTACAGAGAAGCACAAAAATAATTCATGTCAGAAGTGATATATAGTTAGGAAGGGGGAAGGGGGAAGCTAAATTGTTGTTGAACTCTCACCAGCACTTGGGGAGTGTATTTGAAAGCAAAAACATTTAGATCAGTCAGACACCAATCCAGAAATGGGCCAGCGATGAACAGAGTTAATGCCTGATAGGGACAAGACTGGTATAGAAGTTGTGTTGAAGAAACTTTGAACTTCTTCTGAATGGTGTTTGTCATCTACGTTTAACTGGTCAAGGTCTTGAACGGAAAAGGAAAAAAGCAGAAAAACTAGAGCAATAAGCCACTCACTCACTCAACTAATTAAATTAACTAAAATAAATAAATAAATCTTAATATTCACATTAACTAGGAAAGGAGAAAGGTGCTAGCAACTAATCATATGCTTCCAAATTAATTAATTAATTAAAAAAATACACTTGCTAAAGAAATATTGTGACGGGTGGACTCATGAAAAACGTTTTCCACTCCACAAATAAATAGACTAGAAAAAAAGAAAAAAAAAAAAAAAATTAAATCAGTGCTTCAACAAGACTAGCTTTTAGCCCACACATCATAGCCAGTCATCAAAGGGCATGCAAAGTGAATACCAAGAGTAAAAGTAACTTAGCTTAGGATACAATTTGTGCAACACATGTGGTAAGAACTGCGAGGAGAGACAAGAAAGAGCCAAGGGCATTTAGTTGTAGATCCGTCACAGTTGCAATTCCAACACCCAGGAGGAGGATCGTGAGTGAAAACTGGATGCTTCTACTGCAATAGTATCATAGATGTCAATATGCTGCCAGGTAATATATTTAGACAGGATAATATAATGAAAACCTAATACACTCAGCAGCGAAACCATCCATCTAATAGACAAAATTGAAAAATATAATTATCATTTAAAGTGCTCACAATTGACCAACAACCAAGAAAAGATTAATGAAATTATCATAGAAGTCAAGCTACATAAATATTTAAAAGAAACTTATCATAATAATTAAAAAAATAAAAATAAAAAAAAAATTCTAAGTGGGATATCTTAGTCCAGTTATGGTTTATTTTCCGGTCCCTGTTTCCTTCCTACTCAAATCTGTCTATGCAATGGTAAAAGAAAAATGGATGAATAGTTTGGAGGAACTTCGCTTTTCAGTATGAATCATTCAAGGCAGAAGGTAATTCCTTCTTAAAACAGGGGGATTCTATTTGCATCCATCAATTTGAAGTACCCTTCTTTCTACTCTTATTCCCCCTCTTTATGATTTTTTTTTGCTTATTTAACGGTGAAACCATTAGAAAGAGGTGAAATGAAAGAATAGAAAAACAGAAATCCTGTCTTGAGGTATACTCAAGTTAACAAAAGTCTGGATAATAAAGGTTCTTCGTTAATTCCAGAATCCAATCAAATAACATTTCAGATTTTACCCTCCATTAATCTTTTTCATCAGGACACCAGCATGGTATGTTGGAAGATTTTCTAAGAACTAGCTGCACAAATCTCCAAATCAATTGTTTAATTTGTATCTGAAAAATGGTTCCAGAAGAGTGGAAAGAAATATAATGGGTATCGTTATTATCTTTGTGATTACACAAAATACGACAGTTAAGAGTCTTTGGTAGTGCATGTAAGAGCTTTCCAACTACACATAGGGTTGAATAAAATTTCTACCGAGCAGCATCACAGCACTTTTTTCTTTTTTCTTTTTTTTTTTTTGGGGGGGGGGGGGGAA